TCCAACCCTTTGAATCCCATCCCTGCCTTTCAAGTACCTGCATCCACCATTCATTGAAATCTCGACCTGAAATCGCGTGTGATCAGGCAGATCTTGGCTTTGTCATCCTACGTCACGTTGCCGTGTGTTTAACCCTCGATTGCTGGCAGTCGTTGCATCTCAAGGGGCCTTTGTACGAACTTCACACCATATGAGCCTGAAGCCCCAACGACCATTAGGGATTTGAGTCGGCTTCCAGGAGAGACTGAGCTCATGTTGATGTTAAGAATGTGTCCGGCAAATACAACACCCACAACTGCATCCAAATTAGAACAGCTTTCTGGGGCCTCCTAGTTCGCAACATTGTTTGCATTTCACAAGAATCAGATTTAAAAGACACTAAGTATTTAAAGTATAACACAATTTAGCTGCAAACCCAAGTTTACGTTTTCCTACACTCAAATATCACCAGATAAAGGACTTTGAAGCAGCATAAGAAACCAAGAACGTTGTCCCCATTTTAGTTTTTGCGCATAGATCCCAATACTTGCATGAATTAAAATGTGACACTTTTATACTAGTTTTCCAAATTGGAACTTGCACTACCATCAGAGAAATAAAATACGTTGTTACTTTTAAATTTAAACCACAAAAGAGTTTAATCTGCCAAAGAGTTTGCTTGGAGTAGGAATATTAAGTGCATTTGAAAATTAAAATTCAAGTTTTACATAGTTATTTAAACCGCATAATGTCACCGCCCTTTAATTCTTGGTTTAAAGATTTAGTATCAATGAGACACTGAATGGGAAGCCTTTTTGACTTATAATTGTGATCTTTCAGCGTTCACTTTTTTCTAGAAGAAAATGTTGACTCCAGAAGCTTGGTGATAATTGCTTACCTATTGCTGATTTAAATACATTTAAATATCTAATGTGCGTAGAAGGGATCACGGTGAGAAAGCTCCCACATCTTCAACTCTCCAATGAAATAAGTCATAGTCCTGTGGGCGCGTGACGAGGAGCCCGCCGGCCTCTGAGGGGCGCTTGTCCAGGGCCTGAGCCCCAATCTGCCCGAGGTCTGGATGGACCCACCCCCTCCTCTACACGTGCAGGAGGAGCCGGCCCGGGACACGGGGGCCCCTAAACTGGTTCCTTCCCCAGGTACATTGTGGGGGAAACTAGAGGGAGGAGAGCCAGAGGTTAGGAGAAGCTGGGACTCGTCCGTCAGATGCATCGTTTGAATCCTGACGGAAACAAAGCAACTGTGAAAAACACTCAAGAAAACAAAAACAAACAACGAGACAATTGGGGAAATCTCGACATTGGCTGGATAGCTGATGATATTAAGGAACTGTCTGTTTTTACAGCGTGACACGGTATTTGTGTCGTGTTGAAGAAAGGGGTCCTTGTCTTTGAGGGGTGTCTGCTGAAATATTCACAGGTGGATGATAAGCATCTGAGATTTGCTTCAGAATCATCCTGTTGCGGGGCGGGGTGTAAACTAAACACACTTGAGGGTGTTTGCAGTTGTCGGAGCAGATTGATGGACACGCGAGGGCTCAGCACGATTCTTTCTGCTTCTTTTATGTTGATTTTTTCCATTAAAAAAAGAGAGTGGGGAGAATCTGAAGAGTAGAAGAAGATATTTGAAACTTATAATGGATTAGGATTCGCACCAAAATAGATTTTAAAACTCTCTGCTTCCCAACTCTGATAACCAAACAGTAAACGGGCCAAGAAGAATGAATCCTGGAATCATTCATTCAACCTGTTTGTGGGGGTCTGTTGTGTTCTGACCTCTGGTGAGACAGGAGTGACCCAAACGGTCTGGAAGCTTACATCTAGCATGCAAGACAGAGAAGCCCACAGGATAAGCAGGGTCACGGGGAGATGGAGAGTCCCGGGGGCCTTGAGTAGGGGCAGAGGGGTCCTGCTCAAGCACAGAGCATCGGCAGGGTCATTCTGGCTCCTGTGTTGAGGAGACTAGAGGGGGGAAGGGCAGAAGTGGGGAGACCAGGCGGGAAAGAGCTGCGGGGAGCCTGATAAGAGATGGGGCGCTGGGCCGGGGGCAGCTGATTGAGTGAATTAGGGACATAAAAGCTGACAGGATTTGCTGATAAACCAAGTAAATAAGCTCACGAGAGATCAGTTTCACTGTGTGGGGTGGCAGCCTCCAGGACAGCCTCTGAAGATTTCTGCCTCTGGGTGCTGATGCTCTTGGCAACCTCCCGTGCTTGAGTGTGGGCTGGCCTCTTGATTCACTTCTAAGTGACAAGAATGTGGCAGAAGTGGTGGCACATCACCTCCAAGATCAGGTTATAAAAGGGCTGTGCCTCTGTCTTGGGGGCCCTCTCTCAAGCTCCCCCTGTGTCACTTGCTCTGGGGGATGCCAGGTCGTGAGGCAGCCCTGTGAGGGGCCCATATGGCGAGCGACAGGGACCTGCCAACAGTGATGGGAGTGTGCCTGGAAGTGGGTCCCTCCCCCATGAGCCCTGTCCAACAGCTTGTCTGGAATCTTAAGAAAGACTTTGAAGGGTTGGCCCAGTGGCACAGAGGTTAAATGCACACATTCCGCTTCAGTGGCCCGGGGTTCACCGGTTTGGATCCCAGGTGCGGACATGGCACCGCTTGGCAAGCCACGCTGTGGTAGGCGTCCCACGTATAAAGTAGAGGAAGATGGGCATGGATGTTAGCTCAGGGCCAGTCTTCCTCAGCAAAAAGAGGAGAATTGGCAGATGTTAGCTCAGGGCTGATCTTCCTCAAAAAAAAAAAAAAAGACAGATCTTGAGTCAGAGGCACCCCGCCAAACCGCACCCTGATTCCCACCCATGGAAACCCAAAGTCAAGAAGTGCCTGTTGTTTGCAGCTGCTAAGTTTTGGGGTAACTTGTTACACAGCTGTAGATAACTAATACTCTCTAACTAATGAACATGCAAATTAAAACAAAAAATACATATTCATGCTGAAAAGATTGGCTGAAATGAGAGTGTGGTAACAATAAGGTGGATGCTACTATGGGAAACTGAACTCTTATCCAACCAGTGCTGGCGGGAGTGGAAATTGGTACCCTCACTTTGGAGAGTGATGGTTACCATCCAACAGAATGAAACCAGGTGGACCCCGCCACTCCACTGTGGAGAGAGCCCCCCATTGTGCCCAAGAAGAGACACAGGGCGCTCAGTGCAGCGTCACTTGTGGACGAGAAAACTCAGTAACAATTTACGTGTCTATCAAAAGAGGGATGGTCGTATCAGTGTGGGGTCATCATACAACAAACACTACCCAGTACTTCTAAGGAATAACCTAGAGATATGGGCATCAATACGGGTGGATCTCAACATACCACGGAGTTAAAAAAGCAAGAAGTGAAGACATTGAGTATGACACCACGTCACAAACACATGTATCAAAAGCACTAAGATTTACGTTTATAGAGAGAAAGTTATGCAGCAAAAATGCAAAAACATGGACAAGGAGCCCACCCCCGAATCTCAGGGCCGTGTTTACTCCTGGGGAGGGAGGAGGGAAAGTGGGGCTGAGCTGTGTCCGCCATGTTTTATTTGTTACAACGTTTATGGCAAAATGTGAATATGTACAACCAGAAGGACCTACAACTAGAATATACAACTAGGTACCAGGTGGGGCGGGGAGGCTTTGGGGAGAAGAAGAAAAAAAAAAAAAAGAGAGAAGATTGGCAATAGATGTTAGCTCAGGCGGCAATCTTTAAAAAATTGTGACTATGTTGTCAATCTCAATGGTGGGCACACAAGTCTGTTCTCTTTTCTTCTCTGTGTGGTTGAAGTATTTCATAATTTCAAAGGTAAAAGAGTATCAATACTTTATAATACACAAAAAAGTGACTTTCAGATAAAATGACCCAAAAGATGTGTCACCAAAAGCCCACAGTGTAATGACAGTGAAGAGAACCTGCTTTCAGGGGTCTCTTGGCCCTCGAGCCAGGCTCCTCTCTCAAGCTTGCTTTTCCTTTCGGTCTGTTTTAGAAAAGAGCACTCCTGTTGGAATTAGATCCTCTTGTTTTGGGTAAATTCATAAATATATCCTCATAAACATCAACCTTAAGCATGAAAAGGCTCTGGTTACATCCTAGCCTCTCACCTCCTCACAGCCCCTATGAGTCAGCTATAGCTGCATGGATGCTGTGTAACAAATACCCACCTCAGGGTTCTGCCTCCAGGCATCTCTTGCCCACCAGTTGACTGGAGCGGCTCTGCTTGTGTTGGGGGTCAGCTGGGATGGCTGTGCTCCACACGCCTCACTTTGGAGCCCAGGCAAGGGGGTCAGAGGCCCCTGGGTATTGCAGGTTCGGTTCCCAGAAATCATCCTAAGGTGGAGTTTGGTGAGCACGACGCTTTTGAAGGAGTGCCCTGGGGGTCGACAGCTGTAAGAGGGATCGGAAAGACCCAGGACCCTGCAGAGGGAGATGCCTGGCTGTGAAGCAGGCTGACAACCCCACTGGGAGTAGCTAGAATGGCTCCTGAGTTGCCCTGAGTTGGACCAAGGTGGTTGACCTTTACTTCCACCCCCTAATTGGTTAGTCACCGGATGTGCGGGCCCAGGAAGGGGTGTGACCTTCCCTGGGGAAGCAGAATGGTCACTTGGGGGTGGCAGTGTGTTGTTGGCGGGTCGTGGTTGGGTATTTGCAGTCTCCCGGCCTTGGGGAGATGTGTGCCCGGCTGTGGGAAGGTGGACGAGCCTGCCCTGGTCTCCTCTCTTTGGCCTTGTTCACCTCCAGGGTCATTTGCAGCCCAGGATTTTGGGGAGAAAATAGTTCAAGGACTTGAATTATTGGGCACGTAAAATGAAGACACTCCCATGGGACCTGCTTCTATGGGCAAAGGGTGACAGGGCTGCGAATGGGTCTGGGTCCAAGGGGCCACCCCCATGGGTTCAAGTGATCCCCATCCTTCAACACGGGAGCCCGGGATGCGGGCAGGACAGCCCCACAGGGTCCCCACCAACGAGAGCCAACAAGGACGAGAGCACACAGGCAGAAACCAGAGATAGGAGGGCAATTAATGCTGTCTTTATTTACACCACAAGAGTAACAGTTGAAGGATGAGGTACAAAATACTGGACTCCTGGGGAACTGAACAGAGTCGGCCGTCGGAGGGGGACACCGCGGTCGGCGAAAATCCACCCACATGGAACAGAACAAGAATGGGAAAACCAAGAACAAAATCTGCAACCCCACTGAGCAAAAGAGCGAACCCTTGGAAGGTCCAGACGGTCAGAGAGAACCGATGAGATTACAGAGGACACAGTCGTGGCTCCCCGCGCGGCCCCACGCGGGCGCGGACAGGCATTGGGTGGGATGTGCTGTCGTTCCAACCGTGTTTTCGAGAACACGTCGGTAGTAAGCTCTTGGGTGAACAGGGTCAGCCCCCCTTATATATATATTATAGATATAGTTTGTCTTTCTCATCATTGGAAAATGGCGCCCCCGTTATGGAGCACACACATCAAAAAAGCAAACAAACAGAAACTGTCCGCTTTCCTTTTCTTTCGACAGGAGACTTTTAATCATGTCAGACACAAAGGGAGCTGAGCTCGGAGCAGCCTCCGCTTCATCACAAGGAAGAAATGCTTTCCTTTCGATGCAAAGTATAATTTTAAACCACAGTGCTCACACAGTTCACGACTGCTTAGTTTAAAGTGAAATCTTAGCCATACATCATCTAAAAGTAATTAAAAAGTCAACATGGAAAAGGGGCTTCCCAGGGCCCACCCGGTTCTCCATCAGAATAAGCGGTCACGGGGGCCGGTGGGCACAGTGCGCCTCACCCCATGCAAGGAGATAAAAAGAACCGAAACAAAAAAATTCCTCCAAATCAACTGAAGAGAGACAGGCAGTTCACTGTGAATTCTGCGCAGTTTCCCGAAAACACTGTTTCCACATAAATACAATAAACTCTATTATTGGTATGTCGCAAATGCTAGATAAACTTTTTTTCTTAATATGACAAATGTTTAAGTAGTCCTTTTTATTCTTCTTACAATAAAAAGTACAATTTCTTAAGAATAAGTTCAATAAGACGCAAACGTTCCCCCCCAACTCTCCTTCAAGGTTTTGTTTTACAGAAAAATTTCCATCGTTTGTATCTGCAGATGTCATGAGAGAACAGAAAGGCATTTTTCTTCTTCCCCAAAGCTGCCGAGTTTGGCGTGCAAAATCTGTATACAATATAAAGACATGCGGCCGTTACAGTCCATGCAACCTCCAGATGTAGGAAACCTAAAAAAATATATTCATATATATTTATATTTATATATTTATATATGTATCAATGCCCAGAGAACACGTGGGCCCAAAAGTCTACAAAAAGAAGAATGGAATGAGCACATGGCTGTGACCAGGAAGAAGGAATGTTCTGATCAAAAATTAAAAACAATAAACTCCTTTGCTAGAGCTGCAAAAATCAGACCTACTTTTGTGTCCAATACAAAACGGTCCTTCCTCTGGAAACAGACTTTCAAAAGAAGTAAAGAAAAACTGAAACACTTCGACAAAGAGGCCCTTGGGAACCGGAGGGGCTGCCAGTCCCGGCCGGTTGGGTGCGGCCCCGGGACGGCCGCCTGCTGGTGGGGCTCGGGCGCGTCGTGGCGCAGCTGGAAAGCCAAGAGGGCAGGGGCGACACCACGAGTCCCGGCAGCGTCGTGGAGCTTCCCGCAAAGGGACATAAAGTGCTCGCTTGCTGATCCCCGGTCAGGGCCCCAAGGCCTTTGCAAAGAGAGGAAAAGGCTAGAGGTCCAGGGAGCCAAGAGGGGAGGCGTGAGGAGCCTGGGGCAGGCCCTCCAGCGTCCGCCCTGGACGTCTGGCCGTGCAGAGGGCCGAGTGTGTCTTCAAAGGAAAGAAAAGGCTACATGGTCACGCTCTCTGCACGTCTGTGAAGCTGGAGTGAGCTGACAGCGAAACACGCTCCCCCGGCAGGGCCCCTCTGTAGAAGCCATCTCTGCTGAATGGGGTTGGAAGTCAGTGCCCACAATGATAACGTGACCACCGAGAGGTCCACGTTATCGCATCATCTGTAAAAAACGTGAGATGATGTCTACCTCCCCAAGAGCCACGGCTGGTCAAGAGAGGGCAGGGGCAAGGGGTCCCCACGGACTGTGCTGAGGAGCCCGAGGAGGCCAGAAGAGCCGGCCGCTGGGCCCCGCCAGCGCCCTGCTCACGCCGGGGGAGGATCGAACTGCTCCCACACACCGGCTCCCGTCAAGTCGGGCTTCAGAGTGGCCAGGAAGGAGGAGATGGTCAAACACATCCTGAGCCCTTTCTGCCCTGCTCTCAAACGGCTGCCCTGGATTTGACCAACAGCATCCTGGTGACCAAGCCAATCCAAGAATTTGGATGTATTGGGTCAAAAGTCCAGCTGTGTCAGTGTCTCTTTCAGAAGCTACCCTGTAAACGTCACCAATCTCAGAAACCTGCCTTGGGGTTCCCTCCTGTGGGCACGCTGGGCCTGTACTTCGTCCCATAAGTCTGAGCTCGATACACACTTTGGAATGAAACTGGTGGCTTCAAGTGCTGGAAAATAAGTTACCAGTAAAAAGTGATGGTCAGTAACCGTCAAAGAGAAAAAGAGCCGAGACTGGCTGCCCTGGTCAGGACCTGTGTGCCCCTGCAGGCTTGCCAGGCGGCGAGGGCCTCTGCAGCCGCAGCCTCTAAAATCCAGGGCCTGCTGCTTCTAGCCAGGGGCCTGGGCCATGTGGCTGCAGCAGAAAAACCAGGAATGGGGGCCAGGCCCCACTCTGGCCCCATGCATTGCTGACATGCTTAAAAGGTCTTTGGAAAACAGAAGCTAAAATCCTATCCTGACCACATGGTCAGAGAAGTTTAAACATGAGTTTTAGGACTGCCGATGGCCCGTGGTGTCTGGGCAAGTTACCCAGCTCACTGCCATGCGTGATCCCCCCACATCCCCTATGGAGGGGAACACACCTCCCCCCCATCACGCTACTGCTGTGCAGGGGCCAAAAGCCCCTTCGCATCTGGATACAGCTCCTATGACAGAACCAGGAAAGACACATGGTCGGTACCACCACGAAAGACCTCAGGCCCCTCTCCTCATTTGATGCTCACTTTCTGAAAATAAGTTCTGCAGCCACAGTTCTGTGTGCTGCAGAAAACTGCTCACTGTACAAAAAGAAACAAAAATGAAAATCATAAAAAAAAACCTTTAAAAGTTAAAAAAAATGTACAAGCAAGAAATTAGAAAGGAAAAAAGGTTTAGACAGTATTACCATTCAGAAAACTGCTAAATGGTGAGAAAAAATGTAAAATTCACAAAACAAGGCTTATTCGGGATCTTTCCGTGAAAAATTCATACAAAAATCAACAGCAAATTTATATTCTTTGCTATAAAAACTCATTAGGTACATATGTGCATGGAGGCTTGGAGCGAGAAGGAGTTCTGTTAGAAAATAATCAGAATGAAATACAAACTCTCAGGGTAGCTGCCCAGTGGCGAATGTGTTGGTGATCTGAACGCTGTCTGATGTGGAGTTCAAAAATACACGAGTGCCAGACTAGATCCCTTCCATGAGCACCTTGGTATCTAATTCACAAGTCAGTCATTCGCCAGGGACCTTTACAATCTGCATTTATTATATATATATACTTTTTCTATAAATGCATTATAAATATTTTATCAAGATTTCATAAGAATCAAGTTTCTTAGCTTGGAATACATTGGAATATATATTATACATATATATATTTATTTATACCTAAAATTTAAGCAATACTTCATGCTACTTGCTTTTAATAAAAAGCATTCCGATCGTAACACTGAAAGTGTGCCTAGGGCATGCTTCACGACCAAATGGAGATGCTCAATTGTTATAGGATGGACGAGAAAAGAACACTTTGGATTCATTTAAAATTTGTTGGACTTCAAAACTCCCAACAGTATTTGCCACTTTTTTGGAACTACCTCCATTTTTCTTCAACAGCAATAAAGCAAAAGCAGGGCCGCAGGACTGCAGCCCCTGGAGCAGCCGGCAGCGGCCTGCGCCCGCTCTGAGCGCCAGGCCAGCACCCTGCAGCCCCTGCCCCTCGCAGGGCACTGTCAGGCCCCACCAGCCACAGGACACTGTCCCACCAATTCCTGCTGTTTATTTTTTCTTAAGGCATTGTTCCTCAGACTTCAGAAACCCCAGCCACAAAAATCCATCAGAGCAATTAAAAAAAAGGCACAAACTCGCATCTTCCGAAGGCTTTGCGAAACCAAAGCCAGCCCTGCAGGCTCGCATTTCTGTTTTGTCCAGTTTTTCTTCCTTAAACGCGCGTGCGCTCTGCCCCCACCGCGCCCGGGTCGGAGGCGGCCGGAGCCGTAGAAACTTGCTCTTTAAAAACACGACCTACAAGATGAGTGGTTTACACGGAGACTGTGGAATCGTGGGTAATAACCAAACTTTAAGCACCAGTTTTAATCAAGTTTGTTTTGTATTATTAGATCTTTGATTTTCGTTTTCTTTTCCTCGTGTCAGCTAAATCGGGCAGCCCCGCCACGAGCCGCCGCAGCCGCCTCCCTCCGGCCGCCCCGTGGGAGCCGCGCGCCCGGCTCCGCGCGTGTCCGCGTGTCGCTCGGCCCGGCGTCTGTCCGGGGTCCTGGAGGGCCGCCCGCCGGGAGCCCCGGGTCCGCGCAGCAGGGGCCTCCGGGCCGCCCGCCGTGCCTGGTGCTCTCGAGAACGCCGCGGCAGGACGCGGAGGAGCAGGAGCTTTTCTCGGCGGAGCTTCAAGACAGAGACAAACAGACAAGAGCCGCGGCGTCGGGGGCTACAGGGGCGGCTCCGCTTCCATGGGCTCCTCGTCGGGTCTGCGCGGCGCCCGGGGCAGCGGGGAGAGAGAGAACCGAGCGCGTTACCGGCAGCCCCCGGGGTCCCGCGCCGGGGCGCACCCTCCCGCGGCAGGCCGCCGCACCCCAGCCTGGGCCCCGCCCGCCCCGGGGAAGCGCTGGGGCGCCCGCCAGCTCAGGAGCAGATGCTCTGCAAGGGTTTCCAGGGACTTTCGCACGGGACCGAGTTGGCCGTGCTGGCCCGGCGCTGGAGCCGCGGGGGACCCCCGCCCTCCACCCCTCCCGGGGGGCCCTGCTGCGCGCGCGGAGAAGCCACAGGCTTCAGACACGAGCGCAAAGCTTCAGGTCGTCCGCGGAATGAGTCACCATTCACAGACGTGCCCCGCAGGCCAGTGGCTTTGGGGGCCCCGGGGCGGCGCAGAGGCGCTCACCTCTTCTCGGCCGGCTTCACGCCCACGGACAGCGAGGCCATGGCGGTGACGGTCTCGGCTTCCTCGGTCTCGCACTTCTGGGCCTCGACGAGCGAGTGCCCCGCCGTGGAGGAGGGCCGCCGCAGCGAGCGCCAGTACTGGCCTGCGTGGAGGGCTCGGTCACGCGCTCCGCGGGGACAGGGCGCCCACGGGGCTCAAGCGTGACTTACATGAGTGGCTTTAAAAGCACCTCTCTTTGGGGACACAGAAGCCAGGGGCGTCCTGGTTCCAAACTCACAAAGACCAGGGCCCTTTGGAAAAGCTTCCGCACCGCCGGGGAATCAAGTCCTCCCCAGGCACGAGCACCTTGCGTGGGGTGGGGGTCCTGGGGCCTGGCCCCTTCCTCACTGTGGGGCGGCCGTGAGGAGCAGGCGAGCGCAGGAACGCTGTCGCCCGTGCTGAGGGGTCTCCCCCTCCCCTGACCCTCTGAGATGCTGAGGGGTAACCTTAGGGGACCTGGGCATGAGGGACAGTGCAGGGGGGTTGAGCAGGCCCAGTGGGCCATCAGTGCTTCTTCCCACCAGGGGTCCCTCGTTGGGGATCAGTGGGAACAGCTCCAAGGCCAGGAGCTCAGCATGGGCCAGGGAACCACAGGGCAGACCCCTGGTGTGCACCCACCCACGACAGTCTCAACAATTTGGGTCATCCTCAGACCTAAGACAAACAGCTCTGTGCTGAGGACGAGGTGGTGCCAGTTCACGTGAGACAAGGTGTGACTGCAGGAGTCACCTGGCTGTGGGCCAGCCCCCAGGGCCCCCAGGACCTGCCACTGGAGAGCAGTGCAGGAAATAGGGGCCGTGTGGGCTGATGCAGCGGGTTCTCTGGTCCCTGGGAGGAGACCAAACTCTAGCACATGGGTTCGTGTGCACGCCCCACCCCTGCTAGCTGGGGACCTGGAGCAAGTGATGTCACAGACTCCTTGAGCCTCAATTCTTTGGACCTGTAGAATGGAGCTGCCGATGCTGTTCTAGCAGGTGGTGGGGAAATTAATGGGGATGAAGTGAGTCTCTACCAGCTTGTCCAATGCTAGGTAGAGGCGAGGCCTTGTCACGTAGGCCTGGGCTGGCGGTGGCAGGGACATGGAGAGGGGCACGGGGTGGGGACATGGAGTCCTGCACACTCCTCTTGCCAGTCCCCCTCCCTGCCACCCATCCTCCTCCCTGTCCTCCCTCTGATACCCCCAGGGGGCTTAGCTGCTGAGCACTCTGCTGGCGACTTACTGTGGATTTCAATGACCTTCTCCATGGACCGGACAGCGTTAGCATTGGGTCTCTGCTGTAAAACCTTTTCTGGGAGAGGATCAAGCTGGAAAAAAAAACCATAGTGAATAGAAAGGATGTCAGTATAATCCCTGTGTGTGTTCAAGTGGGATGTTCAAGGTCAGCCTGGGTCTCTTGAGGGTACTTGCCAACAGAGAAGAGAAAATAACTTTAAAAAGCCAAATGTGGTTTCGGGATTTACTATATAAATGTCTTAGAAAAGTAGATTTCTTTTCTTTAAGGTATTTTTCCCGGGAGACTATTAGGTGTGTTCGTGGGTTCCCATGCGAGCAGGACGACGGGCGGCGTGCAGGAGTGGGCTGGAGGAGGACGTCAGCGTGGTATCCGCTATTTACACCACAGCGTCACATCTGGGGAAATAATGATTCCTTTCTTATCACTTTCCTTATCATGAAATACCCTTTCACTTATCATGAAATATCACTTTCATGTCCCCAGTCTTATAAATAAGAATGCTTGAGTATCCCCTGTTCACAGTTTTCTCCTAATAATGGGGAAAAAGGTAAATGGAAGGAAGGGAGTGGAACCTCTCACAGAGGGAACTTTGCTCCAGGTTTCTCCTTAAGTGCTGGCAGCTGATGATAACAAGGAGTACACTGACAAGTCGAGTGAGGCCGACCAGAGCATCCACAGGCTAACAGCTAAGTGTGGTGGGCTGAAATAGATCATAGGCACGCAACAAGTAAAAAAACCTTTCGATAACTGGACTAGCCTACAGAACCAGGGGGGGATCTGCAGTGAAGCTGGAACCTGCCCAGGGAGGTCAGGAATCCTGGGGACAGGCCCTGTCCTGCAGGCCTAGGCTGGAATGATTGCAGCCTCTGGGGAGAGCCAGCAGAGCAGGCACACAGACAGCGTGCCCGCAGAGACAAGTGGCAAAGAAAGCTTTGTTCTCAGCCCCCTGAGGATGCGCCGGGTTCTAAACACTGTGAGCAGAGAGCCGCTACTTGCGGTGTCAGCTCCACGACGCCAGATGCCTGGCAGAGCAGCTGTAGACCCTCTCCTGAGGCATACGTCCCCGCACCAGGCCACCAATGAGCGCGCCAGCTCAATTCCAAGACGCACAAGTTCCCACTCAAAACTGTCATAAAGTGCAGGAGCTGGCCAGCATGCGCTTGGGCCAGAACAAACCAGGTTCTAATCGCCTTCCCCAGGAAAAGGAGCAGCCTTCCTGGAGGAGGGGCTGGTTCCAGGGCTGGGGCATCCTGCAGGGCAGAGGAAGGAAGAACTCAAAGCCAAGACGATGGGGCATGTCAGAGGGGCCGACAGGGGGCCAATCGGAAAGGGATGCGTCACATACTGCTGAATCGTAACTCGGGGCAGAAAACAAGGACCCACAGTCCACAGCGATATAAAGAAGCGACCGGAGAAATAAACAAAGCAACGAGGAGACACGTCTTCCTTAAGAAGAGTTTCAAATGACTTATGTGCACACCCCCTGCCATGAGGTGGAGCTTAACACCCCTGCACCTGTCCCCTCGAGTGTGACCTGAGCTGACTTCCTTCCAAAGGGCACGCCTGTGGGGAAAGGGAAGTGCAGGTGGAGAAACCTCAGAAACACCACTTCCACCAAGTGCTCACGGTCGGCCTTGGCAGAGCTGAGCTGTGTGGACAGCACCGCCGGGCAGGAAGCATTGAGAAGGCCCTTGGATGAGTGATGAGTGGGGTCCTGGATGGGACCCGAAATAGAAACAGGGTGTTGTGGGAAAACGGGTGAGACCTCAGCATGTCTGGCATTAACAGTAACGTGCTGGATTGGTTCCCAGGTGTGACCAATGTCCCACTGACATCAGATGGTTACAACAGAGGGGACCGTCGGAGGGGCACACAGGAGCATGGGTGCTGGCTCTGCCACTTTCTGTAAATCAAAAACCGTCCCAGAATAAAAAGTTTATCCAAAAAATACAGGTTCAGATCCTAAAAGACTGCAGTCATCAAATAGAAGTAAGCATGTTTAATAGGTATTAAAAATAAAAGACATTTATGTATGACGAAAGAAGCAGAGGTTCCCGAAATGGAACTGGAAGACTTGAAAGAAAGCCAAACAGAACTTCTCGAAATGAAAACCTAACAGCGGAAAACAGAAACTCAACCAGTCAGCGACAGAGAAAATTAGTGACCTGGAAGCAACAACTGAAGAAGTGATGTGAATGCAGCTCAGGGACAGAGGAGCAGAAAGAAGGAGAAGGGACCTGGTTACCTGTTCAGTGTCCCCATGAGAGCGAGGAGAGGGTTCCTAAGGGGCCAACGGCTGAGGATTTTCCAGGATTGATCAGTGGTCCCAATCCTCAGTTCAGGAAGGGGATGAGAGCCAAGCAGGAAGAATTGAAAAAGAAATCCACGTCAGGCACAGCAGAGCGAGGCCACGGAGCATCAAAGACAAGCAGAGAATTCCTACAGCAGCTGGAGAAACAGTCTGCAGAGGAGCAGCCGGCGGCCAGGCACAGATTGCTTCAGAGCAAAGGAGCGAGGAGACGGGGGCAGTGTCTTCAGTGTGTCAGGAGAGAATGATTGCCAGCCCAGCCTGTAAGCCCCGCAAGACCACCAATTAGGAGGGAGGGTGAAAGAACGACTTGAAAGGGAAATTCTACAGGATGTGCTTAAGGCAGAAAGAAAATGATCCTAGATGACAGTTGGAGAAATGAGAAAGAGTGAAGAGCAGAGAAAATGGCATAAATGCAGGAAAAGCCACATAAATAGGGACAACATAAAACAATACTAGTGATGTCTAATTAGTGAAATTAAAGAAAAAAAGAGGGAAAAGAAACACTAGTCAGTGATCGCACATAACCCAGGACGGGGCGCTGGGGCTGCCGATTTAGCAAATAAACATACAGGACATCAGTTACATTTAAACTTCTGATACGCAAGTAATTTTTTAGCATAAGTACGTCCAACTGGGAGTCCTGTGTCTGATCTGTGACCCCCACCCGGGGCCAGGGCAGCCCGGCCGAGGTGTGTGGGGAGGGATGGGTCCCTGAGCATGTTGGGGCGCGTGTGAACATCTGTAAGCATCGCTACTAACAACACCGGTCGGCTGTCTCCTTCCACTCGGCACAGGGAACAGATGGAACGTGGGGAATCCTCAACCACACCGAGGAGGCAAGAAAAGAGAAAAAGGAAAGAGCCACTAAGAGGGGGGCAAACATGGCACAGAATAAGATGGTAGAAACAAATGTGAACAAAACAAAACAGCATGCGATCGAACCAGCTGTACTGACCGAAGCCTCCGCTGACTGCTGGGTGGGATATAAAACACAGTGGCGAAATCCAGACTCATGCTGCCTGCAGAGGAAAAATCTGGAACACAGGAGCACGGCTGAAAGTCAAGGATGAAAAGTGATACGCACGGCAAAAGGGGGCCAGGAACATCTTCAATATTTGTCATGACAGATTTAAGGGAAAACCCATAACTGGGCATAAAGAAGGTCACTATATAATGATAAAAATTTCAATTCATCCAAAGGTTATAGTGATTTAAAATCTGCACATAGTTAGTAAAACTGCTTTAAAATGTATGAAGCAAAATTGATAGAACTAAAAAGAGATATGGATAAATGTACCATCATAGTAGATTTTGATGTGTCTTTCTTAGAAGGAGCAGAGAAGCAGACAGAAGTTGACAGAGAAAACCAAAATGCGAACAGCACCGCTGGGAAGGTTGGTTCAACGGACATAAACAGAGCTCTGTAAACAGACAGAGGAGACCCGTTATCTGAAACACACGTGGAAGGCCTACGCAGATGACCACAGGCTAGCCTGTGAAGCAAGTCTCCACAAATAGATGCCAACCAGACAGCCTTCTCTTTCCACAATGCAATTTGTTAGGAATTGATAACAAGAGAACCACGAGTCATTATGGTTGGAAATTAAAAAACACACCAATTGTGGGTCAAAGAAGTCAAAACAGAAATTAGGAAATGCTTAGAAGTAAAAAATGATGAAAATGCTACATATCACAGTGTGTGCTGCAGCTGAGCGCTGTGCTGAGGACATTTATAACCTTAAGTGTAAACATCAGAAACTAAGACTGAAAAGTAAATACTCATTTTAAGAAGTGAACAAGGGAACAGAACAGTCCCAGAGAAAGAAGGAGAGAACATACACGGAAAAGGGGCAGAAATAGATTTTGAAAGAAAAAAAAAGATACTGTAGCTGAAAGTTGATTTTCTGAAATGACTAAATTACATTGGCAAGTTCTGGCAGGACTGATCAAGAAAACTACAGAGGAGGCACAAATAAAGATATCAGGAATGAAAAGAGGGCCATGACTACAGGTACACCAGAGATGAAAAAGATAATCAGAGAACACTGTTAACTTCTGTCAATAATTCTGAAAACTTGGCTGAAATGGATAATTGCATGGTAAAATGTAACTTTCCAAAATTAATTTAAGAAAGAATAGAAAATGAATCAGTCATTTAAAATTTTCACCCAAAGGAAACCCATGGCTCAGGAGAGCCCTGCTAGTCAAGGAACAGGTTAATCTGATCGTGCACTCACTCTTCCAGAGCACAGAAAAAGCGGTGACTCCTAACTGTCCATCCATCCATCCACCCACCCACCCATCCATCCGTCCAATCTCCCCACCCCAAGAATAAACAGGAAAAAGTCTGATAGAAACGAGGGCAGAAGACACACTTCACCAGAAGAGAAAGCCCAAGTGGCCAACAGACATGCTCAGCCTCACAGCGACGGGGAAATGACCATCTCCACCCGCCCATGGTGCTGTCTCACCCCATCACATCGGCAGAGGTCAAATGCTAAGTGTGGCTGAGACTCGTCACCCACTGCTGAGGGGCTGTGGGACAAGCACTCTGATTTCGTCTCATAAAGGTGGCAAACGTGTCCCTGGGACCCACCTCTCCCTCTACTAGACATTCACCTCAGAGACGCGGCTGCCCACGTGTCCCAGGGGGCTGTCCAGGAAGTTCACTCTGACTCTGACTAACCACCAACTTGGAACAACCCCGGTGAGTCTGAGGCCGGAGGACAGTTAAGAATGAAGCTGCACCCGGACGGCTC